CCAGATGTTTTTGAAGTTTTGCTATTTCCTCAGAGTCATCTCCTGTAATAATCATGTCATCTACATACACAATCAAAGCTGTGACCTTACCTTGACGGTGTTTCAAAAACAACGTATGATCTGCGTTGCTTTGTTGGAAGCCATATTTTTTCATTGCCAAGTTCAATCTCCCAAACCACGCTCTAGGAGATTGCTTCAAGCCATACAAACTGCGTTGCAATTTGCACACCACTTTAGTCTCATAGTTTGTCATGTATCCCGGAGGGATATCCATATATATTTCTTCTTTCAATTGCCCATGGAGAAAGGCGTTTTTCACGTCTAACTGATGCAATGGCTAATCAAGATTTACTGCAAGAGATAAAAGAACTCTGACAGTGCTCAACTTGGCAACAGGAGAAAAGGTTTCTTGATAGTCTACGCCATATGTTTGTGTAAAGCCTTTAGCTACTAGTCTTGCTTTGTACCTTTCAATTGACCCATCAGCTTTGTACTTGATAGAGAAAACCCACTTACACCCTACTGGTTTCTTTCCTTTTGGTAAATGGACAAGGGTCCATGTCGCATTCTTGTTTAATGCCTCCATTTCTTCATTCATAGCTTGAACCCATCTAGTGTCTTCAATGGCCTCTTCAACGTTGCTAGGTACACTGTGTGAAGATAGTTCATTTGCAAATTTCTTAAGGGGTTGAGATAATTCCTTCATAGAGACATAATTAGCAATTGGATACCTCGATCGATGATCCTCTTCTTCAGGAGAGTAACGCTTCGGTGGTTTCCCCCATTATGCCTATGAGGTAATTCATAGCTAACAAAGATATCACTATTATTATTATTATCAAGAGATATAGGAGAGCTTACCTCAATGATATTCTCAGGAGATGGATCGTTGAGTACTGGAGAGGGGGGGGGGGGATTCTGATACTTCAACTTCAGGACTCATATGGTCTGTTTGAGTTTGACACGAAGCACCAGCCACTTCAGTTGATGGTATATCAATATCTTTGAACCAGTCAAATGTCGACCAATTCGACTCTTCTTCTGGTGTCTCCCCTTGAAGAGAAGAATTGGGTGCTGCCGAGGAGTAGAAATGGTCAAATTCCAAGAATGTAACATCCATAGTTACATAAATGCGTCGAGTAGTAGGGTCATAGCAGCGACACCCTTTCTGGTGTACACCATATCCCAAAAACAGGCAGCGAATGGCACACGGATCAAGCTTTGTACGCTGGTTTTTATGTAGGTGAACAAACACAACACACCCAAAGACACGAGGTGACATCATTTGTATTGTAGGCAGCGGTACAAATGTGGACAAGGTCTGCAGCGGAGTTTTAAATTCAAGAACCTTCGATGGCATCCGATTGATGAGATATACTGCTGTAGTAACAACATCAGTCCAATGGTGGTGAGGCACATGTGCTCCATGTAAAAGAGCGCGAGCAGTTTCAAGGATATGGCGATTTTTCCGTTCTGCAATACCATTTTGTTGTGGAGTTTGTGGACACGTGGTTTCGTGAATAAGTCCGTGTTTTTTTTAAATACTCATGGAATTGGTGATTTACAAACTCCCCACCATTATCAGAGTGAAGGATCCTAATCTTCGTTGAATATTGAGTCTGAATCATTTTATGAAATTGTTGAAATATGTGTACCACTTCATTTTTTTGTTTCAACAAATAATCCAAGTCATTTGAGTGCAATCATCAACAAATATAACTAACCACCGATAACTAGAGAGAGACGATTTTGGGGATGGACCCCATACATCAGAATGGATTAAAGCAAAAGGAACATTACTTTTATTCATACTTGATGGATTAAAGCAAAAGGAACATTACTTTTATTCATACTTGATGGAAAAGTGACTCGATGACTCTTGGCTAAAATACAAGCTTCACATTTGAAGTTCAACAAAGATTTATCTGAAAATAAGTTTGGGAACACATGTTTCAAGTAGCCAAACGAAGGATGGCCTAATCGACGATGCCAAAGTAAGACTTGCTCCATTTTGTTGTTTCTTGGATAATGCATGTGATGCGCTCGGCCTACACTAAAATCTTCCATATAGTAAAGTCCCCCTCTCTTAGTACCACGCCCAATGATCTCCTTCGTGAGAATATCCTGAAGAAAACATAAAGATGGATAAATTAGAACAACACAGTTCAAGTCTTTTGTAACTTGACTCACAGACAACAACTTATGAGATAGAGAGGGAACAAGTAATGTATTTGAAAGCAAAAGGGTTGGTGATAACATCACAGTTCCAGCCCCTGTTACCGCCGATAAATCACCATTTGCGTTGGCAATACTTGAGCGCTGAGGGGTTGAACGTTCAGAGAAATCAGCAGCATCAAACGTCATATGATCGGTAGCTCCGGAATCAAGTATCCATGCGTTAGAGTCATCATCATGATTAGAGCAAATCAGAACATTACCTTCAGTGGTGTGGGTACTTGATTTCGGAATGAGGGAAAGATGTGGTTCAGCAGTAGCTACTGCAGCTTTGCCCGGGTTGCTCTCAATTGTTTCGCGATGCTTTCGAGCCTGAAAGTCTGTCCACCAGTCTGGATAGCCATGGAGCTTAAAACATGTCTCACTAGTATGTTTGTTACCTCCACAATGAGAGCACTTAGTGTCATTAGATGGTTCTTTATGTTTGGATTGAGAAAATATCTTACTGTTCTATAAGTTGAGACCCTTGGATGCAAGACCTGCTCCTGATAATTCATTGGAGTTGTCTGTCATCACTGCCTGACGAAGAGCTTCCCTCCTAACATGTGCATATGCTTGCTCCACTGTTGGAAACAGTTTCATTTGTAAAACGTCGCTTCTGATATTATCCAAGCGGTCATCAAGTCCATCCAAAAACACATACACTCGTTCTTCTTGGACAAGTGTATTGTAGTGTTGGATATCAACTTGACATGTCATCGGATTTAGACGACGAAAATCTATCTCACGCCAAAGTCATTGGAGATCGTTATAATATTTTTCAAGAGAACCACCGGCTTGTTTAAGACGTGTCACCCGTCGCCGAAGGTCATACACTTGGGAGGTATCACTGCCATCGAAGTACGTGGTCGCAATTGCATCCCACACCAGTTTAGCAGTTGAGAATCGAATGAAGTTGCTGATTAGAGAGGAGTCCATTGAGTTGATTATCCATCCCTTAACAATCGCGTTGTCAGTCCGCCAACATCGAAATGTAGGATCTGTTTGAGGGGGTTGCGGGAAATCTCCGTTGATATATTCCAGTTTGTCTTTGCCCGAGATATACATCTCGACCACCTGGGACCAAAGGGGATAGTTGCTGCCATCTAACTTGATGCCAATCGGTGCCACCGTATGGTTAGAGCCAATTTGTGACGGGGCTGAAGCATGGTTCAGGACTTCTGTCATTTTCGTCGTCAACTCAGCAAGAATAGAAGACGAGGTAGTCTCATCGAAGTTTGAATTCGAGTCGGCCATGAAAGAAGGATGGAAAGTGTTACCGTAGGTCTGGATTAAGACCTGGCGGTTGATACCATGTCAAATTGGTATAATATTTTCATATATTTCAATCGTATACATCATATGGGAATTGGTTATATTTATATACACAGAAAACCCTATTTCTAATTATAACTAAATCAGAATAATTATAACCAAATCAGAGAAATTAACTATTAATAACTATATTCCTATTATAGTCCCTACAATTTTGTTGACAGCTAACGCCAACAAGTATGACTGTCTCGGTCTCGGGAAGGAGAATTGTGTTTTCCGCCTTTTGAATGCTCTTTCAACTTCTGGACTTTGCTTCCCCTTACAGCGGTCAGCTCCAGACCAATGGAATAGTTCTTCTAGATGCGGTCTCTTGAACTGTATTTGCAAGGGGATGAGCATGATAGATGCTTTCTTCTAAACGAAGGAACCTTTCTTCCATATCCTTGGAGTTTTGTTGCTGAACGATGTTGTAAATACCGTTGAGCAACTCATTCGCGCCTTGAGCGCCTAGGTTCGCTTTAAGATTGCTGAAACCGGGCAATATCTCCTTGATTCGTTGCTCAATTGGAAGAGGAAGAATTAGATTTGGATGCGGAGGAACCTTGATGTCAAGATTCATTTTTCGAGGAGGATGAGTCGTGTTTCGTTGATTGATAGTTGTCTATGCCGCGCCGCCAGCAGTAAGAGCAGTTTCGCGTGCAGTGGCGAAACGAGTAGCCTTAGATCCAGCCATTTCCAAAGATCGAAGAGATCAGAGATGCAAAAATCCAAAGATCTGAAGAATCAGTGAGTTGTAATCGATGTAGAGTTTGAAAAAGTCGAACGCAAATGAGTTTTTGCTTGATTTGCTAGAATCAAGAGTCGTTCCCATAGATGGTGCCACTGTTCTGTTATGAAATAAAAAATGGAGAGATGTGGGATTTGCGACGGAATAGAGCTTCCGATGCAGCGAAGGGGGGTCTATATGTAAGATTAGCACTCCGACGCTCAAGTCAGTATGTAAAATGGTAGAGAATATTCAAAATTATGTTTGAAACTTTTTACCTGATTTGGCGCCATCCCCTATATATAGAGAAACGAAATAACGTCCTCGCTATATTTCAGGCGTGAAATGCAAAGGACCGTTGGATGTGTCTTATGTGTAAATTCCCTGTAATAAGCTGTAGGATAGTCCTATGATAAAGAGAAGATTTTGGAAACATAGCGGGTCAAATGGCTTTGGCCAAAAACAGACTATCCCAAGGCGGTCAGTCCAAGATGAATATAATCGGTCCAAAACAATACTCAACTGCTAATCAAATAACATATTATTTCATTTTCGGATAATTTATTTCTTTCTAAGTGTAAGAGCATAAACACAATGATGTTTTTCAATGGTCAATTTCTAAATTTATATGGAACTTCAAATATTTATTGTGTAGAAGCAAAATACTTTTGAAAGTATTCTACAAATTCAATAATTGTTACGAATTGCAAGTAGAATAGAGTATGTCATATCAATGTTGAGACTGCTAATTTTGTAGGTTTAAACTGGAGTTGGACCTTGTGGTATACTCAGCAACAAGTTGAGCAAAAGACGATAACTTGTTCTCTAGCAATCTTGTTGGGGAATCATATTCCTCAATTAGTCCTGCATCATTGTTTTGCATTAGTGTCCAAAAAATTCCAATTTCAAAGAAGACTACAATACAATACAGTATCCTTTCTCACCTTGATCAAGTAGTAGAACCATATCACTGTCAATAACAGAAGTTATTCTATGTGCAATTGTAATGACAGTGCAATCAGAAAAATGTTGCTCAAGAGTTTGCTGTATCAAATTATCGGTAGCCGTGTCGACCGATGCAGTAGCTTCATCTAGCACCAATACTTTACTCTTCTTAAGCAGCACCCTACCAAGACAAACCAACTGTCTTTGACCCATACTCCAATTCTCCCCATTCTCACTCACTGCAACGTCAAGTTTTTACATAAACATTAGGTTCCTTCCTAGAATATATGTAATATATACTTATATTTCATAGGTTTAAAAGATAAACCTGATGAGTCTAACTTTCCTTCTTTCTTTCTAACTTCATCTCCAAGTTGACACTTATCTAGTGCCTCCCAAATTTGTTCATCTGTGTACTCTTCCAGTGCATCCAAGTTACTCCTCACAGTACCTTCAAACATGGTTGGATCTTGAGGAATAATGCTCAATCTCGACCTCAGATCATGTAGTCCAATGGAAGATATGTCGATACCATCAATCAAAATTCTTCCAGCAATAGGCTCTGTAATTCTGAAAAGTGCTTGTATGAGAGTTGATTTACCACTTCCCGTTCTCCCAACGATTCCGGTTTTCTGTCCTCCAACAAATGTGCATGTAAGGCCACGTAAAACAAGTGGCATATGCAGAGCATATCGCACCTTCATTAAACAGAAAGACACTCATTCAACGACAAAACAAAGGATAGTGAACGATAAAAATAATAATGACTCCTACAACTACCTGCAAGTTGTGAATATCAACTGTGCCATATAATGGCCAAGAAGCATGTGGCCGATTTTCGTCAACAACAAGAGGAGGCTCACTAGGAATACGAGTATACTGAAGTATTCTTTCTACTGATATAATTTTGGTCTCTAAGTTGCAAAGCTCCCATATCATCCATGTTTGTATAATGTTTAGGTTAAGGCCATATGTTACAACTAAACCAGCAACACCTTCAAAAACAACAAATATCGAGTAAGGCTCTTCTAGCCTATTACGTAAATAAGATACGAGAAAAGAGTTTCTTACTTGAATTTATGGTTCCTTGTGGGGAAGATATCAAGAATAACAAGCAGAAGGAAAATGTTACAGAAGACAACATATCTAAGTGAAAACACAACCATTCCATAGCACCGGAATTATTGAACTTGGGACGTGAATACCCATCCATCAGCTTCATATTTGTTTGTTGAAATCTTGACACCTGATCAAAGCTCCTGATGGTTGATGTACCTGAAATTGTTTCAGAAAAGTGCTGAATGACAGGAGCTTTGCATACTCCGAGTAAACGAGACAGTTCCCGGCCTGATGGAATATAATATTTCTGCAATACACACAATCATAAGTTGTAAGAAATATATTAAAATTTAAATAAATATGAAAAATGATAATACGTGCAAATGAAATACCTGATAGCATATGCTGATTACTGTCATAGGAATAAAGACAATGAAAACCTGCCATGCAACCTGTGACATCACTGATATAATTCCAAGGAGATGGATTATAGAGCAAGCAACTAGTGCAATTTGAAAAGGAATGTTTATATCCACTGCACTTTGGTCAGTAGAAGCCTACAAGAGAACATGAAAATGAAATTCTCAAAACATTTTCTAAATATATGTCCACTGCACTTTACGAATTATTAACGATATCCACAATCGCACATACCCTATTAAGGATTCTTCCACTAGGAGTGGCATCAAAAAATGACATTGGAGCATGGAAAATGCAAAGATGCATTTTGTTGAAGAGTAGAGTAGCTGTCTTATAACCGGCTGTTACGACAAGTGTTGCTCTAGCTAGGACACAGAAAGAACTACCTATGGCCAAACCAACATAGACAATTAGGAGTTTACTTCCTCCAACAGGTGGACCAACATCTTTTGAGATTGGAGTTGCTGAAGCCATCCAATAGTTGCTTCCAATTTGAAAAAGTTGGAACAAAATTTCAGCTATCACTATGATTGGAACAAGAGCCCCTCCATATGCCATGGTGATATATTTCCAATACACCTGAAATCCAACTTTACCTTTCTCTCTTTCTTCTTCTTCAACAAGTTGGCCTTTGGCCTCAAGCATTTCATCACTTCCCTTATTTTGTACTTCTATTTTATCGGTTCCCCCATTTTGTACTTGTTTCTTCTTCTCTTCTATTTTATCAGATTCTGTTATACTCGTATCTCCATTTGATGAACCGAGTACAGACAAAGCTTCTCTATGAGCACCAACAAGTTCCATAAAATCAGTGCCTGAGTCTAGTAGATCATTATACTTTCCACATTCAGTAATTTCTCCATCTTTCAGAACCTTACAAACAATAAAGAATTTGATAATATATAAATTTGAAAGAAATCAAGCAAATTGTTCTTGAATTAATGATATCTTACCAAGATAAGGTCAGCAGCAGGTAAGAACTCTACTTGATGCGTGACATAAATCACCGTCTTTGAACTTAAAAATCTCAACAAGCATTCCTGCCATATGCATAAAATGAAAATGCTCATTTACTAACGCAAGGTCAGTGTCATTGTTCGCATTCGTGTCAGTGCTTCGTACCTTAAATAGATGAGATCCTGTATGAGCATCCAAAGCACTAAAAGGATTATCAAATAGATATATATCCGCATGATCTTGGTATAGAGCACGCGCAATTTGTATTCTTTGTTTCTGTCCACCACTCAAATTTATTCCCCTCTCCCCAATGATTGTTTGATCTCCAAATGACAAAATCTCTAGATCCTTCTTTAGGCAACATGCTTCAAGAACCTTCTCATATCTTTCCCTTTTCATATCCTTTCCAAACAGTATATTATCCTCTATCTTGCTACTTTGTATCCATGGTGATTGAGATACATAAGCCTTTGTCCCACAAACCTTCAAGATCCCTGACATCTTTGGCACTTCCCCTAATATACATGAAAGTAAACTAGACTTTCCTGATCCAACACTACCACAAATAGCAACTTTCATTCCATGAAAAACTTTAAGATTTATATTTTTCAATACCGCGTTTGAAGAAGACAAATCCCAGGTGAAATTTCCATCAACTACTTCAATTGCTAAATCATAACTATTACTGTCCTTTGGGAGTTTCTCAACAATATCTGACTTTATGTCGTCGTGACAAAGAAAAGATGCAATCCTGCCAAGAGAAACCTTAGATTGTGCCATCATTGAAATTGTTTCTGGAAGATTATAAATAGGTTCTTGGAGGATCTGGAAGGTTGCAAGTGAAGACAAGATCTTCCCCGATTCAAGTGCGACGCCTATAACCAAACAAGTACTAAAAGTAACCGCAGAAACGAATGCTGGTGCACTCCAAAATACAAAAATGATCAAAGCTATAGTGTATAGAAACTTGTTTAATGAATCTTGTTCAGTCTTTCTGAGGTCAGTTATCTTAGAAAGAAACTTCATTTCCCATCCTTGAAGTTTGAGAATTCTCATGTTCCTTAAAATCTCAGACGTCGCCTTCATTCTTTTATCTCTTGACCTCATCAACTTGTCTTGAAACTTCTCTTGGATTGACCCCAGAGGAACATTTGCCAACATTACAATGATAATAGCAACAAACCCGGAAACCGAAGCAATGCCTAGGTTTTTATACAAAACCAACAAAGCTACTAAAATTTGTAGAACCACCAACCACAGATCATGCAGGTGATAGCAGAAGTCGCCAACTCTTTCGGCATCAACCGTCATGAAATTGATTATCTTGCCGCTAGTGTGGCCTTGTTTGGATTGACTTGAAAGTGTCAAAGTTTTGTTATATATGATTGTTACAAGCAGTGCTTGGGTTCTAATTCCAACCTGCTGCAGCCTGAAAATCCATTGCCTCCTTGTCATGCACTCTACAAGCTTTGCCACAAAAAATGTAGACACCAAAACTAGTCCTTCATATTCAAAGTTTCTTTGTCCATTAAGATATTGAAAAAAATTATCTATAAGATAAGGACCTACATAAGAAGCAAATGTATTTACCAATGCAAAAATAGCTGTCAAGAGAATCTCTTTCCATGCTGAGAATGCTAATGACTTCACTAGCTTAATTGTGGTCACTCTATTGTTGTTATCAACACAGTATGCATCAAGATTATCCTTGAAATATGGAAATGCTGCAAATAAACTGTCTCTTATGTCAAGTTGAGGAACATCGTCAAGATCTAGAGCTTTCTTCTTTCCAGTAGCAATCAATGGAGTGATCCAAGAGAAAGTAAGAATGCTGAAAATACCAGCATTAGAGTAAGGAGTAACAGTGTCCTCCCCTTTGGTTGTATTGTCACCATTGAAAAGAGGTTGTTGAAGAGTTCTATCTTCTATTCCACCCTCATTTCTTTTCAAAAAACACAAGTAACAGATGAATAAACCGACACAAACGGAGAAAACATCAGAAACTATATACTGAATTGGCAAAGGATCTTGCTTTTCATAGAGAACAATGTTCACAGTAAAGCAATAACATGAAACTAAAAGGTAAACGGTAGACCAAGCTTTAAAGAACAATGACATTGGACACAAGAGTTTTCTGTGAAGAAAAACACAAATAACACCCCAAGTAACTGTATTGAGCGCCAAATCCAAAAGGGTCACAAGCTTTTCTTTTGAAAAACCATTTCTAGACCAACTCAAGTAATCAGAAGAACACAGCAAAATATTGAAAGCAGAAACAGAAAGAGAACAAAAAAGAGACTTTGTGAAGAAGCTACTTTTTATTCTCTCTTTGGAATTGTGTGTGGATTCAACAGTTATCAGATTCGTCCACAACCATGACAGTAAAAGTAGTGCTAACAGCAGTAAATGAAGGAAAACAGGTTTCACATTCATGAAAAAAGTTAGAAAATGGAATGAGAAGACAAACAACATAATGTACTTAGTTGAGGTTTTTGTGGAACCTTAAAAGGATTCTAAGAAATTGTGTGGTTTCAGAATGAAGAGTTTTTGCTGTTATAGAATAAAAACATAAAGAAAGAGAGAGTTATGAAGCACTAACATGAATTTAAGAGCATATAAACATGGTAGAATTAATTAAGTTATACTTATATTTAATATCATAAAAATGAAATCTGATTTGTTTTGTTGTTTATACGAGATGATAAACATGGTACACGAATTCAAATCAATGGAACTAAATGTCAAACTACATTAACTATTTCAATACAATATTGGACACGTTTGACTATTTTTTATTTATAAGATGCGTTTTAAATTTTTAACTATATTATAAATTAGTTAATTTTCCTTTTTTTTTTCTACAACTTCTTATAAATAGGAGAATATAAATAAATTTTCGATAAACTTATAAAAAGTATTATTGCTACGATAATTTAAGTGTTGTAATATGCATTCAAATCTATCTCTCAAGTGAGAAAAGAGAAAAAACAAGTAGGATTAAAATGGGCACAATCCGTTAGACATATCTTTTTTGACTGTATTTTAGTGAATTTTTGCCTCACACTTTTATGTGTCCGCTTCGCTCCATTTTTTACGGGCTTTTGCAGGCATACATTACTATGATTTTATGTATTTTTAGGCTTAAAAGGTGTCATGCCCGCGGGTCCGTCCTGCCTTGCCACACTTTTGTATGGAGCAGGTTAAGGTTTTAGGCATGTACCCTCAACTATGTTAGTACTGGCAGGTTTTTGAACTTGTTCGCAAATTCGTTCGTTAACGAGTCATATCTTAGGTCTGTTAAGATTTTGACAATTATAAATATGTCTTTCTCTTATTTGATGTAACACAAATTTCAGAAGATGCATAAGGTAGAAATTCTATTAAGAAGCAAACAATAAAAATTTTTAGGATTGTGTTTTGGGATTTGGCAGCCTTTTGAGGTTTGATAGGTCAAAGTTGAAGTCCAAATTTTTTGAAAAGTCAAAGTTTAAATGTTTCACTTGTCACGAAATCGGTTAGTTCAAGAAGGATTGTCCTGAAAGAGGGAACAAGGGTGACTCTGGCCATATTGTGATTCTCTTGGAAGAAGATGGTTATGAAAGTGTTGGAGCACTAGTGGTAACAAATTTGAAAATAGAAAATAGTTGGGTTATGATTTTGGTTGCTCTTATTACATGTGTTCAAGAAAAAGATATTTTAAAACTTTGGAGCTGAAAGAAGGTGGAGTTATTTGACCCAAAAACAATAAGGCTTGCAAACTTTATGATATTGGTATAGTCAAACTGAATATGTTTTATGGTCGTGAGTTTCTCTTATGCAATATGAGTTATGTTTCTGAACTAAAAATAATTTAGTTAATAGGCTAATGCACTAAAATGAACTTAGGATGTTGAAAGTTTTGCATGGTGTAAATGATCCAAGTTGCGTGGTTGTATAATTTGGATGGTTCCACTATTATAAGGCAGACATTAATAGGTCAAAACCAAAAAAGGTTTAGCTGAACATTCTAAACAAGGTTTGATAGAGAGTGTGAACTTAAAAAAATAGGAATTTTGTGACAATTTCACTATAGAAAAATAACACGGAATGTGTGCATAATTCTATCAAATCTTTTGAGTATGTTTACTCATATCTATAAAGTTCAACAAATGTGAAAACTCACGGGGTTGTATTATACTTCCTCTTTATTATTGATGATGTCTCTTTAAGACCATGTGTCTACATTTTAAAAAGTAAAAGTAAAACCTTTAAAAAATTTAATGAAAGATATTCTCTTATAGTGAGTCAGTTGGAAACTAAATTGAATGTATTAAGAACTGACAATGTTTTAGAGTTTGTTTTAGAATAGTTTAATGAACTTTGCAGAAAACTTGGTATCAAGAGGCATATAACCTTTCTTGTCACACCTCAATAAAATGGCTTAGCATAATGCATGATAGAACCATTTTTTAGTGAAGTTGTTGCAACAACAGCTTGCTTGATTAACAAATGTCGGTCCACAAGAATAAACTTCAAGACATTTATAGATGTTTGGAGTGGAAAATCAGTAGACTACTCAAATTTTAAGATTTTCAGAGCTTTGGGGTTTGCTCATATAAAACAAGACAAACTTGGTACTATGGTTCTTCATTAGTCATCTTGAAAGGGTGGAGGATTACAAACTTTGAAAGATGGATCCTAAAAGATCAAAGTTTATCATAAACATGAATGTTACTTATAGATGTGACCTTATAGGAATGAAATGCAAATACCTAAGGTTACAAAATCATAAACTATTGGTGAAAAGATCCAGTTTGAGGTAGAGCTTCTCACTAGTGAGATTAGAGACAACGTGGTAGTTGAAACTCTGGTTTCTAGTACTATTGAAGGGTAACATGCAACATTTTTTTCAACCTTATTTTATAAGCAAAAGTCTTTTGATTTTTTTGACATTAAATATAAGCAAATTTCAACAAATCTATGCACATTTAATGCCTTTATTCCAAAACCATCTCTACATTAATTACTTAATACTGTTAATGGATGACAATTTAATTAAAGATATATTACTAATTGATCTGACCTGATCAGAAGGGGATCGCTGGCTGCCACGCGTCTTCGACTTGCTGCCTGTTCACCGGTGTTGAAGAAGAGGAGAGGGGTGTACCTGCAAGACACTCCGATGCTAAAGTAAGCGTATGGGCAGAGTAATCACAAGTACAAAAAAGGGGTAAGGAATGAATTACATGACCCTCTTGTAAAAGAGGATATTTATAGAGAGACCCCAGCGCAGGGCCAACGGTCATTTGAGTTGGGCTGGATGACCAGGCCCAACCCAAATGACTGCTAGGGCTTACGTGGCGTAGTGAAGACCAGAACGTGGTCTTCGCCCTAGTTCAACTGTCCCGTGATCTCCGGAAAGTGGATTTGACCTGCTCTTCCGGAGGTGGGCAGTTGGTTGGTGACGTGTCCTCGCGGAGGGGAGCACGTGGAGAACGTGTGAAGGACACATTGTCCTGCCCGACAGGGGAGCATGTTCTGCCCGCGGAGAGGGCAGTGTCTGGTTGATGGGGGAGTCTTGTGCTCGACACAGATGAGGCAGGTTCTGCCCGCGGAGGGACATTGCCTGCCCGTCGGGGACCCTGTGCTCGACGGCTGCGGCTCAAGCTGGACTGGGCTTGACAGAATATTATTGGGCTGGGCCTGCCTGGCCAAGCCGGGGCCCAGGCCAGAACACTAATTGTGTTTTGAAGTAGTATCTCCTAATTATCAGTTAGCTCATGATAGAGTCAGGAGGAAGATTGTACCACCTCAACGATACAATTATGCTAATCTTATTTGTTATGCGTGGAATCTAGATAAAGGGTTGGAAGTAGAGATTGCAATAGGTACCCGTGAACATAGATTTTGTTTCCTGATTTCCGACATGTTTGATAAATATAATACATGTGTTCACCCCATACACGTCCATATATCCATCAGAGTATTTGTTGACTTTGAGATATTCATGTATGTTTAAGGATATTCATGTGCTATATTTAAATTTTTAGTTTTTAAAAAAATTTAAAATTAACTAAAATTTCTGTATCTGCTTTTAAATATACATCAAAATAGTTTTAAATTTAACACAAAATAAAAATGATAATAATAAAATAAACATTCATTTTATTTAGTTATACTAGATTAAAAAAATAAAATAATAATAATAACAATAATAATTGTAGTTTCAATAAAAATAAAAAACAACAATAACAATTTTAATTTCAACGAAATAATATTTAAATAATTTTTATAATCTTAATAGATATAAATATCTACACATACAAGTATCATCAAATTTAAATTTCCGCTCATAAGTAACTAAATAACCATTAATTTCACATGTGAATAATAAATAAGACATTAGACCCGTGCATGTGACGGGTTTTATACGTTTATCTACGAATATCAAATTTTTTTTACCACTCATAATCAAATTTAAAGTAAGAATAAATTTTGATTAAAATAATAAGATTATCAATGAAAGAAAAAAATAATAAACTACAAATTAATATAACCGAGGCGGATTCAGACTAATACCATAATCTCCATTAACTAACATATTGTCGTATTTTATAATCGAAAAACTTAAATCTATTTAAAACAAATTTTCAAATGAAACATGCCATGTGAGGTGATAAATTCCAAGTCTATCTGATAAAGCTAACAGGGATTTTATGAATTCAGAAAACTTGATTGCAGTAGCCATAATAAATACTAACATGTGCTAGAATCTGAAACGAACTTTTTGCATGCATAAAATTTCTCAAGGGTCTTAGAGCATCAATATCTACTACAATATACCTTATTTTTAAATTCACTTTATACGTTGAGAAACATTAGTTTGCAAAGAAAGTTGGTCAATTAAAACATGGTTACAACAACTAATATCAATTGATTTCTGACACAGTAAGTTTGAAAAACGGTGACATGGCACCGATAATACTGCTCTTAGAGCATTCACATCTATCATATTCATTTGTTTTCTTTAAATAGGTCTTACTTATTTTTTTATATTATATTACACTTTTAAATTATTTAAACAACTCAATTACATTTTCCAAATATCCATGCAACTCATAAAATTTGTAAAATAGGTCCCACTAAATACCACAAATATCTTATATTAAATTTTTTTACATTCATTTTCAATTAAATAATTAATTAAATACACACGTGACACTTATAGAAATGTTGTTTAATATGACAACGATTGCAAATTAAAGAACAATGTTATTATGCAATTATCCATCATTTTCTGACACAATCACTTTGATAATAGTATAAGAATCATATATTAATTATGCTCTTAGTCAACTTAATTCCATAATGAATGTTTTTAATGCATTTAGGTTCATTATTTAAGCAATTCAAAAAATAGAAAATTGTCTTGAAAATATAAATCAATAATTTTAAAATAACAAATATATAATTTTTATATCATTTTTTGAAAA